TAACTGTTATGATACCATCACTAAGTTTTTTCCAGTCATTTATAAATAAATGACTTCAACAGTTTGTGATAAATGAGATTTTTGTGTTTGCTCAGAAAGTATAGGACATCACTTCCAGTCACAAATGTCACAGTATGCTAATGAAGGAAAGGGATTATGATTAAAGATTAAGCTGCCTTATCCAACGGTTGTTTCATTAATATGTCTGACTGACGAACTAAAGTGCGTAGAGTGGTAGTGATTGCTCAAGACCCCATGTGCCTGTATGGGTTTGAGAATCAGTGTCAATACTAAACACTTATATTTTCTTCATAATTTACTAGTTTTATCTAAAGTCTTGCATGCCACAGCAATTATTAGGGACTTTTTCATAGTGACTGGTTTAGGAAAGTTATACTGGAGGGAAAATTAAGTGTATGCGTAAGCTTTGGAAAATCAGTCCACTGTTGAGCCAAAAGCTGTTCTAAACTTTCAGTGTTAATAGGTATACCTTTCAGAGCAAGAAAACTTTCTCAGCTTATACATTGAATAACATATTTAATTTATCTAATATGAGTTATTACAAATTAAACCTTTACGTAGATTTTATTAGAGGAGAATAATCATGCATCTGCAAGATTATTGGGGAAACTTTGTTTGATTTCCATATTTTGTTGATCTTCCTGTAATATATGAAAAATGTTTCTTATTTGTTGTCAGATTCTGTAACCCTTGTTATGTATTGATCAGTAACATAGTCAAGAATAGAGATGGCCTCGAATGCATGAGTTGAAGGTTAAGTTGTAAAAGATGTGATGAGACTTTTTATCACACGTTTTTTTGTTTACTTATAGATAGCTAATTTGAGTAATCTTTTTCTGTGATCAGCAGAACTGGACACAGAAATGTGATAAAATGCTTTATTGTCAAATTTTTAAGTGCAAGACAGAATGAAAGTGAATTATGGTAAAGTGTGGTAAAGATCATAAATTGATAGCACTTTCAAAGAAATGTAAATAGGATCAGAATATGTATGAGATATGGATAGTGACTATTGACTTGGAAGTGTGGAATGTATATATATATATATATATATATATATATATATATGAGATTTCAAAGATATTATTATAGTTTTGAAATGAGAATACTCAGTATCTTCAGTATTAATGATACAATATCAGGCTGATTCAGTATCAATGATAAATGCTCCAAGTATTGTCATGTTATCCAAGCCAAAGTGAAAATAGAGTATTGCATGATGTTTGACAAATTATTATTATTATTATTTTTTTTTTTTTCTCCCTCTCTCTTTTATGCAGAAAACTTCATTAGGTACTTTCATTTACATTATACATAGAAGCAAATTCTCTGAAAGGTTGCATTGCAACTTGTTGAGTTCCGCAATAGTTGACAGGTATGGCAGTGTTCAGAAGGATACCCTGTACAAGTTGTATTCAGTTATTGAAGTTGTGTTCATTTATTCACATATTTTACTGGTGTCTAAGAAAGTTACTGTATTATTGCAGTTATCTAATATTATTTATCTGATTGCATAAGGTATATAATTAGTGATTTACCTTACAGATTGTTATCACAGATTTTCCATGTGTATATGTAAGTCTTGTACACAAAACAGTAATCTAGTTCTTTGAAAAATATGATTTTTATATGATATAGAGAATATCTAGTAAATTTGTGATGTGTTACTGGAATATCATAAAGTAAAAACATTGTGTTCATAAACATTTTTCTAAAACTGAGGAGTACAAAATCCTGCTTCACAGTTTTATTTTTATGAAGAGCAGTTATAATAAATCAAAAGGTAGCAAGGAATTATAGGGTTTTTTCAGACCAGACCAGGAAGGGAGAGAAAATGTAGCCCTGCCTTGTGTTCTGTTGTATTTCTGCCAAGATTTCTGAAGAGTATTTACCTCCTTTAGGGCCAATATTCAGGCATTCACACTAGCAAAATAGTCATTGTTGAAAATATTCATCTATTTTTGAAATTGCTGTTAGGTGCATCATCATCATTCCCCTTTAAATACAAAAATACACAAGAAGGCCATACTATCAATCGGGAAAATTACCAGGGAGTCCTTTGTCACTTTCAGGATGCGGTTGGTTGTAAAAGAGTTGTGGGTAGCATTACCTTTATTATGGCACCTCACCCACCTATATCAGGTTGAAATAGACAAATAGATATGATGGAGCAACTTCATGCAGTTTTAAAAAAGGGCTTTTAGATAGGAGAGGGTGGCAGGTCTGTGGAGAAGGGGATAAAAATTCCTTATATTTAATCCATTAATGCCGATATATTTTGAAGCCAAAAATAAAAGATTCCAGGCAGCTACAAAATCAGCAGATGGGACTGCCCGGGAATGTCTGCATGCCAGCCACGGCCCATTGCTGCGTTGGAACACGAACCCCAATACAGTGTCACACTGGAGGGACACCCGGCAATGTTTACTTTTTGGGGTGTCTCATATGTGGAACACTAGTCATTAGTGGGTTAAGTAGT